CTTATGCGACAACACAACCGATAAACAAATCGAGATGCACCACTTTCCCCTAGAAGTAAAACTATAAAAATAGACATTTTATACAAATGTTACACAAACATGAAGAATATTTGCGAAACATATTTAAAAACATATTTAAAAACATATTCAATGAAAACGACAGAGGACTGGTTTGATGATTAGTTTTCAAATTATTTGCTTATTCAATTTTCACAAAAATCGGTAAAACATCCAGATTTTTATCTATCATAGTCAACAAATAGTCACTTTTTCCTGGTGATCCATGAGCACCCCACGTGATTATTTATATTTCCGAAGTTCACGTGTCCGGGTTAAAGAAGATCTCAACTGCTACGTCTCCGATTTCCAGGAACTAAGGGGAACCGAATGTTCGCTCTGTGACGTTCGCGAAGAAATAGAGTATCAGACACTGCGCAGCCTCCATCGAAATGATAAAGACGAAGGATTGCTATAAATCACCGCGGAACATACGCGAAGATCGGAACGCGTCACGTCTCGCCGTCGACGTCACGAGCACCACGGGCGTTGTAAGCACATCCGCGGTTCATTCATGAAATTCTAGAAATCCACGCACAGAACCCGATGACACATCGGTGGATCGATGAAGGAACACCCACCTGAAAATATCCCATATTCCACTCGAACGCGATCCGCTATTTTCACGCCAGTTAGTTTATGTGTTTTCTTAGCGATCTTTCGTCTAGAAATCCTATGTTCCAGCGCGTAATAATACCTGGTCGTATTTCACGGAGCTGCCCAGGGGAACGTTATTTCTAACGTCGGAATGTCAACCGCTTCCCCTCCCAATTTTTTCTTCTGTTCTCCGCGATGTAACGTCTAGAAATTCCGGCCTGGCCGCAGTATTATTACGTTCAAATATTTTATCGAGCGATGCACGGTCTCCCCTCTTGTTGAATTATTCCGATACATCGTGGCGACGAATGATTCACATTTTTCCGTTCAACTGCAATGTTCGAAGCTTCGTTTCACCTACGAACCGCGTATTATTATTAGACCGTGGATTTTATGCATTTATGACATACCTGATTATTTAAAACTTCATGTTGTGAGAAGTTTATGAAAGCTCAATGAAGTTTTATTTGGAACATAGTACCTACAACCCTTATTGGGGTAAACAAATTTCTGTTTAATTCCAGTCTCTAAAAATTAATCTATACAAATTTATATCTATACTACTATTTATAAGTATTTATTAGCCTATATTAATTTCATTAAGATTCACTGTACTGAGAAATATGCCAAATTTTGTTTGTTTAGTTACTTAAAATGGATGAACCATTTTTATTAAATTAATGAAGAATAAATAATCTGTCGTAATATGTTTCTGTGGATATATTGTACCTTTTGTTTTTTAATATCTGTCGTGGTATAATATGTTGCAATTGTTATAGGCATAATAATATGTTCGCACGAATCTAATCTGTAATCGATAATATCGAATCAATAATGATTGTCAAGATAGAATTTCTTTCTACATACTATATACATTTTACAAGTATTTTCTCATCTAGGTACATTGGATTCGCTTTACTAAGAAATGTGTTAAATTTTTCAGAAAGACTAGTTTTCTTCAAAATAAGGGTAAAAATCATGATGATTTGTTGAAAATTTTCAAAGTGAAATGTATTAGATAATATCTGACCTTCTCCGATCATAGCTTCTTGTAAGTGTATTAATGAATCATCACTGAGAGATATACGCATTCTGGAAGAGATAATTATTTTCCCCACAACGCGTACACACCTTCTTATTCTCGAGAAACCATCATCATCACTATTCAGAATCTATCACTATCTATCGTTCGAATTTCGAAAAATAATACTTCTCTTAAAGATACCAGTCCACGGAAGATACTAAAATTTATCGTGAATGGTAACGGACAATGTCTTCATTAAATTTATACTGTTTTCGGTAACAAGATCGTTTCTTTCCGAAAATTCTCAACGTTTCGTGTTCCGTGTACCAAACGACTCTGTTTTCTCTCAATCAGAGGAAATCCATTTTCCTCTTCTGTGACTCATTTCCGTTCACGTGTACCCTTTGTTCGTATCAGGAGGACTAATCACGATAAATACACGCGATGCCGGGTTCTAAGGCGAACAAATCTACTTTTATGATTCGGCTTCATTCGTTCGCCCCCATCTTGTCAGTTCTGTACTATCGTTAGACCATGGAACTTCATGCGTTTCTAAAAATGTCAATCGAGTATAATGAAACTTTTAATTTGCCTTTAACTTAACGAAGTCATTCAACGAAACGTTTATCTGTTCTTTATAAATTACTCGATAGAGATATAAATTTGCATAGCGATCGGAATCTAATGAGTATTCTTTATGAAGGACACAAAAGCGCTCGCGAAACGGTAGATTCGTCGGTAATTGAGCAATATTCCACACACAAACAGTCAGTAGGGAGAAGTTAGTGGTTTAATTTAGATACTGTGAATTAATCTTTCTTTTTATTGTCTTCGCGGGGTCGTGAAAGTTTCATTAAATTGCCAGGATTACTCGGAAAAGGAACGAGACCTTAGAAAGCATCGTAAGCTAACTTTCACTGCGTTTGTCGCGGGTTTGAGACGAAATACTTTTAGACTAAAGATAGCTGCACACTGTGATACAAAGTTAAATGAAATTGGACTGAGTTCAGTTGTTGTGTACATAACACAGCGTGCGTAGCGGACGAATTTCCTCGTTAGCGAAGAAACGTTTAAAAGAACGGAAGTATTTTAAGAAAACAAGATCACTTGTATTCGAAACAAAATTATTCGAATTTGAAGATAAAATTATGGTAGAAAACTATAACTCTTGATAATATACATAAAAAATTCTACTATGGGTGAATAATCACCCTGTTGCGTGTTTTGCCTCACAGGTCCAGGTCAATATTCTTCACTAATCAATGTATTTAAATTTCCAAATTAAAATAGGCAATTAATAAATTCAATCCAAAACACTTAAGACTCAGAAATTAATTTCTGATCTGAAATTATTCGCCAGGTTATGATCGAGTCGCACGCTAAGCTCTGGACATATCTTCGAAATGTGTTTTCGTGAGATCTTTTCGAACGATCATAGACAGAAGGACTTCAATTAACGACGGAATACCGACCAGGGGAGAACGTTTCACGAAAACAGGATCGAACTCGTGGGTTGAACGCGCATATACGATACAGAGGGCGGGTGTCGATGTGTCGAGCAAGGTCGAGTTGCGTAAAAATCCTAGACGGTGGATTCCGTCCGGATCGGCAGAGGCCAATCGGTCCCCAGGTACACCTAAGGCCAGGAATATCCGCGGTAGCCCGCCCCCGCCGTGCCAGAATCAAGGGGACACTATGCTAATCTCGAGTGCACTGGCCAAACTACCAACTCATCCCAGAAGTATGGCCGAACATTATTATTAGATTACGTTTTCGTCGCCCCGGTCTGGAGTCGTGTGTCACGAATGACGACTCTTTCGGTGGATCGGCTCCTTCGTTTCTATAATTCCCAGCCCCTCGGGGACCGTTCCTCTCCATCCTTGAGAGCATTAGTTTGATGGGATACGAATGAGAATGTTATGAATTTACGTTTGAAATTAAATTATTCGGTTGACATTGTAGCAGTAACTACCGTTCCCCAGAAACAAAAGGCCGAATTCACATATTTAGAGCAGCTTTATGAAGAGAAAAAAAATGTTTTCGCTGAAAAATAACTTTGGAAGTTCGCAATATTCAACAGATTAACGTACCAACAAAATCGTAAGGGACTATGTAAATAATCTTGTAAAAAATAACGTGTCCAAATTGGAAGATAATCGAATGAATAGGTTCAAAGATCTGCTGGGGGCTAGCTGATAAGGACCTGCCAGACATGACAGTAGACAGTGTTGTATAGCTCCGCCATTTTGTAATTTTAAATAATAAATAATATATGCAAATAAAGTTAAAATGTCGTCTATCATTCCTTAAAAAGATCTCAATATTTTACTAAATAATTTTTACCTATTCTTTTTGGCCTACAAGGTGGTCTATCCTTTTAAGTCACTTATTTGTAATTGTTCTTCCAGAACCGTGATTCAGTTTGCCGATCTATCAGAGAATCATTTTTACGATTGGCTTCTCCGTGTGTAGCCGACACATAGTGAACAACAGACCCCATTAATCCCTTGCTGTAAATTCGTCGCTAGATGTTACATGCGGAGATCACCAAAGAGATCGCCAGAGATACTGAGGCACGATAAGATCAATCGCGGTGTTCATGACTCACTCTGAGAGCGTTGGCTTCCTTTCTTTTGTCTTTACTGCTGCCGGCTCGTTAATCGATCCGCTGATTAGCTCGTCGTTACAGCGCGTAAAGTGTACGATTATGATTCAGGGGCGAATAACACGTCTCAGAAAAAAGCCAATTGAAAGGAAAAGAAATTTTTTGAATTTAGAATTTACGAAACTGTCTGCAGGGATCATTTCCAATTTTGAGATTCACCTGTCGTTAGCTGTGAATGCTTATCACTAATTGTCTAGAAATTCTTGGATATTAAGTCATTACTGTAAAGAATATTTCCTAAAATTGACGAGATTTTTAAAAGAAAAAATTTTACTATTTCTGTACATGTTTCGCAATAACTTCCTTTTTAATAGTAATTATATGGACAGAGTACTATTCACGGTACTAAGTGTCAATAATTTTCACAGTTATTGCGAAATAATTCTACAAAATTAAACTACCAAGTTTTCTTTATCACAATATCGATACATTCAATATTGTCGTATATCATTTAATGTTCAATTTGATAAGTTTTGAATCTCTCAAGTAGGTATTTGATTGTCGAATCGTTTAAAAATGATAGAAATTGATCTATCACATATTTGTCATTACTACAATATATCATTTTCTCGATATATCATAGAGTCTATACGTATATATCTCACTCTCCGTCTCGCTTTATCGAACTAATGTAATATTCAATTTAATAGTACTCACGTTTCGATGCACCGGCGCTCGAGCCACCCTCTCCGAAGATCCTCGAAGTAGTTCAGCGAGGAGTTCGGGACTTGGTCCCGGAAGACCCTCGAGTTTGCTCGGGCTGGAGGTTGTTCTATGATGGCATGGCGTGGGCGGCTCGGAACCGCTGTTGTTCGCGCTTGTATTGTACGAGAGATTCGCGGAAACTTTTCTACGGGGACGAAGACCTTCTTCGAGGGCGATATCGGTAGTACGCGGCTTCGCCATTTCGGCCTCGAGCATTTGCCCGTATGGACCACGAAGAGGTCTCTTGCTGTATCTGAAAGTGGAAAATAAAATCACGATTCACCTTGTAATGCTTCGTTAACATTTATATAAATCGAAATTGAAATCACTGATCTGTCGTTGTTTGTACTTTTTGTATCACTAATGAATCGAAATTGAAATCACTGATCTGTCGTTGTTTGTACTTTTTGTAACATCACTAAAAAATCGAAATGAATCCAGTAACAGATGGTAGATTCTAGACTGATCAGAAGAATTAGGGGATCGCACATGTGGGCTGTCCTGTTATATCAACAAGCGAAAGAAACAAAACATGTGTTATAGCTTTGCTAGATCGATACCTTTTTCATACGATATTAACAATATTAACACCTAGTTATTTTAATATGAAAAACTTTTCGCATATTATACATCGTATTGACGAGCGGAGCAATTGCAATACACGATCCTCTAATTGTTTCGAGCATTGTACCTTCTTTTAGCAGATACAATTGAGTAAACTTCAAATAACTCAACCCTAGCTACGAATATCTATTCAATACCTATTATTATAAATTAATCCACGAGAATGAGAATCGTCAAAAACAATCACAGTTTGGTCATAGAATAGCGTCTCATGTCCAAGCTAATAAGAAATATCACAGAGATCTATCCATACTACGAGGATTCGTTCTAATACCCACGTGGAGGAGGAAAGTGGCGCTAAAAATGGTGCTTCAAATTGACAAAATCCTCACGCTTTACCCGGAACGTTCATATTATACGTACATTTCATTTTTACGAAGCTCGAATCGAACTCGTGGAAGTGTCACCTTGACGAAAGTGGGAGGACAAAACCGAGTGCTCTTGGACAAACATTCGGCTGTCTCTTTCCTTAAATCGTGCCTGTAGGCAAGACGCCTTCGGGTCTATTTGCATTCTATTCCGATATATTAGCGGTGGTGTTCTCGTGTTACCTTCTAGGCGTGTGGCCCTCGCAGTCGGAGAGGTCGCTGGGCGTCGCAGGTGGCTCGTCTCTTTCCTCGCTGCTCTGGGCCGACAGCTTGTTCCTGTCGGTGTCCAAGGGCTCCGGCCATTGGGTTATGTACACGCCCTTTCTCCGTTTGCTGGTGTCTCCCCGGTACCTTCTCGTCTTACCCGACGGCGAGGAGGCCTCTGAGGGTGCCTCGCTCGCCGCCTCGCTACCCTCGCTCGCCTGGCTCAGCCGTGGCTCCTCCGGCGGCGGTGTTATTATCACCTCGTGAGGTTCTATCCTATTTTCTGGGAGAAACCATTATGCTTTAATTTTTGGAACGAGAGCTCAGAGGTGCTGGCGGGAACAATGAAAGCAGGGGCGGGAAATGATCTGTTAATTGAATTCGAATCTTGAATACTTATTAGCTGAATAAATGTGTCGAACAAGCGATGACGTATAGCAAGTAATATAAGCGTAGGTGTATTATATGCATATGTAGACCCTAGTGATATAATAAACTTTCGTTTCTGTATATTGGTTCTAAGTAGACGGCGGATGTTTATGCAAATATAGATTTTTTTTAGACTAATCTACAGAAATTGGATTTAGAGATTCGTTCACTTTGTTAAGGGTTTTATCAAGATTTTAATAGCAGGTGTACCGATATATAAATCATTGTTTTCCAACAAATTTAATATTCGTTTATAAGAAAATAAGAATGTATGGTTTTTTAATAATATATTTATGTTATTTTTCTGTGATATCTTACACTGTTTCTATCAAGCAAGAGAATGAAAAGACATACTGACTTTGAATTGTATTGTAATTTCATTTAGAAAATAGTGAATTACTTATTGGTACGCCTAATAGACTAAAAAATTTATTGAATGTTGTATGTAGTATAATGAATTTTAGATAATCGTGTATGCTATAAATACATCTGCGGTCTACTTAGTACCAACGTGTATGTAAACGTGACATGTGAATATTCATGTTAGAATATATTTAATAAGACAAAGTCGCACTGTATCTGAATCTGAATAGAATTGCTTTCATTCCCTTTCATCGCTAAAAATTATCTGACTCCATTTCCATTTTGCCACGACTATCTATGTTTTAGCAAAGAAAGAGAAAGAGTGCTTTCGAAATTGACAGCGAAAGATGAGCATTTTCCTAAACTATTCAGGTCATCGATGTTGTTCTTCCTTATCCCCCCCCCCCAACCGTCAGTTAAATCTTTAAAAACTGGCGGTCGATCAAGCTGACAAACTATCGGAAACGAAGGAATTCTAATTGAAATATCCTATTCATTGGATCTTAGAAAAGATTTCGACGAATTCCGAGAACCACAGGAGCGAATAAAAAAAGTAGTAGAATAAATAAAAGAAAATGGAAGACGTGTAGTCGAACGAAGGATGAGAACACTCTCCAATTTGTCTGACTCTTCCCGGTCCGGATCTCCTGCCAATCGACGGTACGACGGAAATGAAAGCAAGCTGTACGGAGCAGCGTTCGTCATAGTTAAACAGATCACCGCGTGCCTAGGCATTTATTGTGATTAGCGAAACTCCAGCGAACGAGCGAGCGGGATGGAGGGGGCGTGTGAAGTCATCAATGAGGATGGCTATAACATGATGACGCTGATAATTTCTATTTCGTTTTGCTGGCTCCACCGTTCCGAGAATAGAGCCAGACGTCCTTCACCGTGGTGGACAAGCGCAAAACATACGACCGGTCTCCATCCGGTTCGATTTCAATGGGGATACATCCTCCCGCCGGGCACACTTTCAACGAGTGATCTCTAATTCTCGCCGTTCGGCGGTTCGATAAACGTGTCAACGAATATCCGTTAATTAAGTTGCGGGGGTCGTTGAATCTTTTCGCGTGGGCCGAAACGGTTCGATTGCCGGGCTGAGCCGTAAATAGGCCGCGAATGTTTCTTGTAAATATAGATTTTGTGAGGTATAATTTACTAAAACTGGCATCGGAAATTTGTCCACTCCGTTGAGAGACTTATTGGGTCACAAGACAAAGTAGAAATGTCATTAAACTTTATTCAAGTTTTCTCGAGACTTGTATATCCGATTAATATGTTGGATATTTGTAACGTAACTTCCGCTAATAGTTAGTGAAACTGAGTAATTAATAGATACAGAATAGTAATGATGAAAATTGTTAAATACTCTGCGAATGTTTCTGTAGAAATAGATTTGTGGAATATAATTTACTAAAACTGCCATCAGAAATTTGCCTATCCTGTTGGAGATTAGAGGTAAATTAAAACTGTCACTAAAGTTTATCTAACTTTTGCAGACAATTTTGTATCAGATAAATTCCATTGAATATTCATTTCGTAATTTCCGCCAGAGTCGATGAAACTAAATAACAAATAGATACAAAATAGTAATGATGAAAATTCGTAATTTGAATAATGATTACTAAATTTAACGGAGATAGCGAGTATGTCTTCGACGGAAGTGCAGCTAAGTAGAAGAAATGGACGCTATTTATTACTCAACGCAATATGTCGCGGACCGATACGATTCGAGGGATGAACGTCATGTGTATCGAGATGAGAAACGAGACACACGTACGAAGGTGCGATTCTGGCACGAATAAAGTCATTAAATTAAAATTACATGCCGTGAGGATGTCAGAGAACGTGATATTATGTTGCCAATTTCTACTGACGAAATCGGTCGAATAACAAACCGTTGCAGAATATCATAAGCAATTTACAAATTCAGCGGTGTACTAAACCGTTGAAGTTCTGTGCGTCTCTTTACCTAACCCTAGAGCGTTCTTCCGTTCGACTTACACACTTCAGATTTTTGGGTCAAAAATGACCTGACAGTATAGAACTGATATATTTAACTTCCTAATACAATAAGAGTATTGAAGGAACAAGCATCCAGTCGCATCTATATAATAATTTTAAATATATAAAAACAATATATTCTAACCCCATTATTAATTTATAACAGGTTCACGTACTTGGTAATAGTACTGCATGCATATGAATGTTCCACATAATGCGATTTTATTGTTTCGTGGCATAAATGACATCTAAATAATTATAAAAACGCAACTAAATAATTTATAATCACACGAGAACTCATTTCTTATACTTTTCCCAGAATTACAATAGTTTTTATGTGAATGAGGACACGATGGGTCGAAAAAGACCCGAAGAACGCTCTGGGGTTAATTTTCTATTTCCATTTAGACCGTAATATGTTCTGAAACTCACCTTTCTGCACGGTCTCCTCGATCGCCGAGTTCTCGACAATCGGGAAGGCTGGCTCCGAAGCGACGATCTCGATCGGACGAGCATCCGGTTGCACCAGATCGACCCTCGGCTCGTGGATCTCGGGTACTGGTGGTTCCGGGCTGGTGAGGGCACTGGAAGTGGCAAGACTGTCGGAACCATCGCTCCGCGGACGGATCTCCTCGAGATTTCCGGTCTGAGGCACGCCCAGGCCTTCCGCGGAGCCGACGGCGCTGTCAACGCTGGGCGTCGATGTTCGCGGACTCTGACGATTCGGGCTGTTCTGCGGCGTCGAGACGACCGGGCTGATGTCCCCTCGTCTTCGTGGTAACGTGCTCGCGCGAACATCCTTGCTCTCGTTGCGATTCGACGTGGCTATTGGTTGAGCCTTTGTTCGATTCGCTGAGAACAGAAATATGGTATGTTATCATTGTGGAGATCAAAATTGATTTATTACTTGGGGACATCGTGAATAGACGTCATCATAGAGAATCATCATATTGTAAAGAACACGATAAAGTGTGTGATCGTACGAAGCAAAAATATGCATATACCGCGAACATTTGTTTTTAGTTGGTAATATTTATTGTGAGGTTGTGGATGGCCCTGCAACTTCACATTATTAGACAAATTTCCGGAAGCAATAAGTACCGTGAGTTGGAGTAACTTTGTCCCAAGTCAGAAAATCATCATTTTCGCTTTTGGAGCTCTGAAAACTTTTATATTAAGTTGATTCTTACGTGAAAAGATATTTCACGTGAAAGTACCTGCAAAACAGCTGGAAAATTAGAAATGTTCATTTGCTGACTTTAAGACAAATTTACCTCTCACTGAGTCACAGCTACCCGAACTTACGGTAACATAGAAATTCAATTCCTCCAGTGAGGGTTTTAGTAGGACTACATTAAAATCGAAACTATATCAGACTTTACTGGAAGTTCTTTCTATATAGTGATTTTATTACGAAAAGAATACACACAAATTCTGAAAATTTTCACAAACAATTGAGACAAATTCTTCACTTCTTTTTTATGATTAATGTCTATGGTCCTTCCTTGCAGTTGGATTTAACCCATTCGCTGCATCTTTTTGGTATATTATACAAACGACATTTTTCATAAAATCAAGAACCAATAGTCATTTTAGAACTATTTAAAATATTTAAAATTTTTTTTAGAGACTATATGTTTATCTACGATAAATAACGAACTAGTAGTCACAGTAACAACGCTTTTCTAATGTTTGGATGTTATTTACAGAATTTTCGTATTGCCGATCGACAAGAAATTTTCCAGATATTGCCATTAAAGTGATAAAGTAGGCGTGTATTTTAGTAGACAAATGTAGTTAGTGTGTTAATTACTTGTCTGCATTCGAACCTCTAAATCAACAGGTGGTGAGGGTAATATGTTGTTTAAGAGGAAGATCCTACAATGTAAAATAAATCTCAGAATTCATGTCAATGTTTCTCAGAACTAAGAAAAAGGACTTACTTCACTTGTCACATCAACGCGTGTCAATTCCAGTTAAAAGAAGAGAAATTTTCACACTTCCCCCGCGAAGATGTTTATACAAGAATATTTGACTTTTGAATTGAATCACTGAGACCTCTGCCATTGCAAATAAGAAGATCATCCTCCTTTCGAGAATTCTGTGCGTGCTGAGTTAAAAGATACACATCGCGAGAATGTACATTAAATTTCACGTACGAGGGTCTTCTGCATTGTTTACCAAGTAAACCAAATATTACACCTGTATTTAAGAAAGAGCAATAATAATAAACCAAACAAACTGTCTCAGTGGTATCGAATGCTGGAATGTTTGTCGTTCGATTAGAAGCAATAGTTACCTGTTCCTATAATAAGACCATTTCTATATAAATAACCATGTCCATCAGCTAGTACTTTTTATAACAATATAAATTTCTTAACCTAATCCAACAAAAATATCGTGTTCTATATTTAACCCCTGCAATTAATTAATTGAACTTTTTTTCTCCCGTCGAATCGAAACCGACACGCGTTTATCAGTAAAAATGGGGAACAACGACATCGAAAATAAACTTCCACGGAACCTATCCCGTTCTTCTCCCCCGACACCTTTCCTAACGGTGAATCATCAATTTTTTAATCGAACTGTCTATCACGCAATGCCGCGAACCGCAAAAAAAAAAAAAAAAATAGAAGAAAAATACACATCCGTGGATCCCCGTGTGTTCGTCGTATTTTTAATAGCGGCTCGGCTGTTCTTGTACAGGCGGCCACAAGGCCATCGGGAGCGGGACCACGCGAGAAAGAGAGAGGAAGTTCTAATTACCTCCTCGAGTGTTAGGTAAGTTTGGCAGCCCTCTCAACACGAGGAGGTGGACCATTCCAATAATAACAAGACGGGAGCGTGCGAGAGTGGGAACGGGAACGAAAATCTCGGTGACGCTCCAAATCGACAGCACGTCGTCTTGGCCGAATTGCGGCAAAGGTACCGTTTGATCAACGCAACGAACTTTGCCCCATTTCGTTGGGGGATGTCCCAAGATCCCTTTGTTGGTTCTCCTGTCACTCGATCGAAGGAGTCTTCGTTAAATGTTCGAGAATGTGTGAATATTGTAGCACTCAAGTGCAATAACCTTTAACTGTTTTCGTTCTTGGTGACTCATCGTTGTATGGTAACAGCATGATCTCGAAATAGAAAAATCGCGTAATTTCATTGCTGTCACAGTGACAGAATAAAGGTTCAATCGATGATGCGAATTATGGTTTCGTTCGTTTATAAAATGGTTATTAAGAAAGTCTTTTGATTGTTGTCGAATGAGAGACAGTGGAATAATAAGAATATTTGATGCTCCTATAAACGCGTTCCTTGGCTGTAGTTTATTTGAAATATAAACGAAGGATGTTTGTAACGAAAGTTCTGTTAAAGATTAACAGTAAATCCTCGATGAGTGTTCGAAGGCTCGTCGGCACTGAACATTAAATATTTCATAAACTAATGGCCAAATTCGGCTGAAACAAATATCATTGGTTTCTTCGTGTACTCAAAAAATTAATAGAGATATATCCTTTCGTAAAAAAAATAAATCAACACGTATATAAGTCACACCTATACAACTTATTAAGATGAAATCGTTCACGTTCTTCAACCACAATTTCTTAGCTATCCTGTCTATAAAATGTTAATACAGGTTCGTGAAACCTAAATACTTCTTAGTGTATCTTATATATTGACTGCGCCACATAAGATTTTTCAAGTGATTCCACGATAGTATTAGTAAGGGTGATCAATTATCCACGTTCCTTCGCCATTAAAAGCTGATTCCTGTCATCCCGAACGTTTCTTCCGAATATAATATAAATGGAAAGAAATCCGTATGAAGGAAATCCATTATCACCTATGCTTTCGTTCGATCGCTTTTTTCCCCCTATTCGGCCGGCGTTCTACCGCGGTTAATAGTCGATGATCGTAGCAGCTGTATTTCAGAAGATACCTAGTTGCCCGTCCTCGTAAACCGTCTTCCGAGCATAAAAGGTGTCCCGCGAGAGATTTGTGGGCGCGTTAGCGCGAAGCGTTTCCGGCTTGCGCCACGCACACGCGATTCGTCGCGTTTCACGCCTTCGGCCTTGTTCACATTGAGAAATCAGTGATCTCTTTTTCCTCGATTTATTTTACAATTTCTCTCTCCCCTCGAACGTGGTGTCTGGACTTTGATAGGTGAAAAAAAAAAAGGGCAGCGCTGATTATATGATTTATGCTTTAGGTTTGCTTTTATACTACCCTAAATGTGTAATGATACGGGTAAATTAAAATATAGAACGCATCAAGAAATACGTACTTCATATTACATATAATAACACTTGGTTCTCGTATAATAAATATCAGGTTTAAAATTGCAGTTCGTATGATTATAGCTTATCCTGAACAGAATATTTTTAATTGAAGAAAGATCCTCTTGAATCGATAGATTCTTCTCAATGAGTCACAAGCTTCTTGATCTCATGTTTAACGATTGCAATAAAGCGCGCCGAAAAACAAGATTTATTATGCAAGAATTTACTATATCTTCTTAATATTTCATTTATGTAATTTTTTGGAAAATTATATGCACTTGAAATCCTATCATACGATTATACATTTATTTAGAGGACCCTCTAGTCATTTCGATCAATGTAATGTAATTCTTTGCTGTCGTACTAACCATGACAGTAGTTCAATGAACTTGCATGGATTGTAACTGTTTTTTGAATAAAAAGTGTGAAAACTGATATACCAAATGTTGATAGACAGACAGAATAGTATTGGTTCATTGTCAGACAGAATTAACCCTGCTCTTCTCCTCATTTATTTGTCATGTTTGTATCCCTTCGAATAAAATTATTTCAAACTTTAACATGATTTATTTTAAATAAATTGAAGATACACAAAAAATAGACGTAAAATTTAAGTACGTTGGATACTAAAAACAAATATATGAAAACATCATACCACATAGTCTATTTCAACATTACAGAGACTTCCAAAAATTAAAACAATCTAAACCAGAAATACTGAAAATTTAATAACTATTATAAGTTACTCGTATCTTTAGCAATTCCATTATCAGAACCTCCAATACATCCCCTTTTGCACACATCTTCAAAAGAAACAACACAGTTGACACCTATCATACCGCCCCTTCTCAACCGGTTAGCACAGCGACAGGTCAATTACGATAAGATGTACTTAATAATTACCTAAATACAAAACGCGTCGATTCAGGCCAAGGACACAATTGCATCGCCCGTAAGGTCGGGAGGGGAGGGAACAGTCTCCGATGTCTCTCATACTTCAAGTCCTTTATTATGAAACCGAATCTGTCCCGGTATGTAGTTCAGGGTTATAACTATCCACCTAGACGAAAGTCAATGTTACGTAGCCGGTTAAGGCGGAACGAAGAAAATATCCACAGTAGAGAAGGGGAGGGAACAATCGTTATTTTCGGCGTCGTCGCATAAACTCGACGACCGTTTTTTTTTTCTTCTTCTTCTTCTTCACAACGAGGTAAAAGCGGGCGCGAAACCCACGGCTATAATCGTATCGGAGGGATTTTGGCGTGGCTCGGAGGCTTATTCGTGGTTGAGTTTCGCGGGCGAAGATAAAGTGCGACAACGGGCTTACCCGTTGATCGACGCGAAGTTTCGCGGTGCTGTTCTCGAAGAACCGCGCGTTCGGTACGTATCCCTCCCTCAGAAAATTATCGGACTGGAATTCAACGGAATAAAATATAGGTAACACCGGGTGCTCGGTGTGTTATCGAATTTAGGACACCCATGCCTCTTTAACGCGCAGCCAGAGAAACTTAGAAAGGAATAAAAATAAAAAAAAAAATATGGGGGTTGGGGGAACGAGGAAAAAAAAATCTGTTCCGCTCGTGTGTCTCAATAACAACGATGCTCTCGCGAGGATACTTCGCTTTCCACGGATTTAGATTGTCCCTATCTTAGTTATACAGACCGACACCTACATGAAATGTAATAATAGACATAATGGGTAGTGTTTATTTGGCGGAACGCCATGCCGCCCGGAGTCTGCATTCTCGCGGGCGACCGATGCTCGGCCAATATTTACAAGTACACCGGCCGTATACAAATCATATAATTAATTGACAATGTTTTTCCGTCCCCGAAAATTTCCGCGTTTCTGCGGCAACCACGGGGATTATTTATCGTGTCCCTCGGAACGCAGGAACGGACGCGCGTACACGACGTTATTCCGACCAGATTATGTAACGTGATGGTCTATCTTCGGTGTTTCCTTCCATTCGATTCCCTTCGTTTGTAAATAGAAATTGGAGACAATCAAGTTTTTTTTTTTTGTTCCTTGACCTAATTTGAATTTTCCTCAAAGGATGTAATTGACTCTTTTGTTAATTCATCGTTGCACTGTCCGCGAATTATCCTTAACCTTGGTACAGCGAATACAGGGTCATTTTAATCCGCCTGTAACTATCGCCGTATCAAATAATAAATGTAATATATGAACTTGAAAATATATGTATAATTTTATACACAATTCCTTCTTTAACCCACGAAGTATCAAACAGTGGAACATGGCGATTTTTACACATATAATTAGTTACTACTTATAAAAATGTACAAGAAAGAATATAAATACTATCAAAAAATTGTTTAGTTCGATACGTTTGTATAACAAAATTCGCGTTTATGCAACTTTAATAACTAAAAATAACTTATATATTATTTTGCCGAAATATAAAAAACGCGTTATAATACTGCATGGACACCATATTATAAAAGCCCATTATATGAAAGATACATTAAAAAGTGTTCATGAGTAATCTTTAGTATATACACAAATGCTTGAGTCCGTCGGAATCCTAGCAGTCTCATCGGTAAGAAAACGATATGTTAATTTTCTCTCGTCGAACAGTTCCAGGACTTTTCCAACGAGAAGATGCAAGACAGGGTGAGGATTTCTCGAATCTTCGGTAACAATAACACTTACAGTGGAAATGAAACAAAGCCTTCTATGGGAAGGCGAACAGCAGAACCAGTTTCAAGCAGGTGAAGACTCGAAAAGATAAACACGGAAACAAAGCACAATGACTGCTTCGAAGTAACTGTTCTTAGGATCGCTCCTGCTCCCGCGTCCATTTAAAGGACTCCTGCCGTTTTATTTGTGATCATTCGGACGTGGTATATGATAATTTTCAATGAAATACTCGAGGATGTCGTAAAAAGCCCAGTTTTTCCATGTTGTAGGACCAGGATACTCCTTGTACACTAGTTGTCTTTTAAATAGTTTCTATAAATTTCGGGGTGGTATTAAAACGTCATAACACTTAAGATATCCGGGTGTAAGCAGTGTCTCTGTGAAAAATGACATACCCGCTTTGCCAGCATTGCAGTTGGCTGCATCGGAGGTTCGAGGATTCATGGATGTAGCAGCATTTAATAACCTTAACTACGAGAACCTGGGTCGCGAATGTCATTGTAACATTATAAAGGACTTTATTCCTCATTCAATTTGACACTTTGATTACGAGTGATACCGATTTCAGGAAGTTTTTATCTGACAGGAAATGTGTCTGTATTTAGAGGAAGATCGATTGGCTGGATCTCATCGGTAGGCCTAGCCTATAGCCTTCAGGCAAAGCACTAAAATCTTGCATGAAAAGAGGATAATAATGTCTTATTGTAAAGATTGCAAGAATATAATTAATTATTTGTTACATAAAACGAGCGAAATCATAAATATGGACCTGCTGTGTCAACAACTGAATCGGTTAAAGAAAGCACTACATACGAAATGATTAGAATTATGAGATCGAAAGTATAATGCCAATAAATGTCATACTGCACTAAACATTGTTCAGAAATTAAACGACGTTGCCAGGGACATTCTCTCAAGGGGAGTACTCTTCTAATATGTATAGTTCCATCGAACTTCATCTCGTTGAATCTTTATGCTACCATTTAAAAGAAAAAGGTACAAACAATTTCTAGGAAGTAAAAATAAGGATCACAAGTTTCTACAAAGAACAATCTATGACCTTCCACGAAAGTGAGATCAAGAAATTTATAGAAAGATGGAAAATTATCAAAATAGTTACGGAAACGATACGAATGTATTTATGAACGTAACCAAAGAGTCTACCAGACACAATCTGCAACTTACTCAAATATTAATCCACTCTGATACAAGACGTGTATAAAGCATATTTGACTCTGAACCTTCATTGAATGATAACAAAGTATATTTATTACCTTTCTCAATAAAACCACTACTAATTGACTTCTCAAAAATGAAACTAACAAGATCAAGAACATACTGGATTTATCGCGATGTACGTATTCATATACCAATTTCATCTGCCAGCAACAGTATGCAACAACTTGTAAGAATCATTTACCTTGATTGAAGTCCACCTGTCCAAACGACGCGCTCCTGAAGGGCGCACCAGCCCTATGGAAGGTAAGAAGAGGTCCTCTCGGTTCCAGCCTGGTGATCGCGTCCCTGGCCTCGCCTTCGTTTCCGCTCGAGGCGGCGTTCAAATTGTCACACAAATCGTCCACACACGTACCACTATCCACCACCGAATCACTGTACTGTCTCAGGTGTTTTACCGCGTCCGCACTGGCGTTCAGCTCGTTTTTGATATCACTTACGTCACCACTGCTCCGATCGTGTTGCCTGCCCGATCGCGTGGATCTCCTTGGATCGGGACAGGTCTTCCTGCACGCATCTTTACCGGGCTCACTGTAACACTCGTCACCGACACTGTCACTCCGGCCGATCGTCTTCAGGTGATGCTGCTGGGGATACTGGTTGTTCGTTCCGTGAACGCCGCCCTCGCTGTACGTGTAACTGCGACAGGTTGGACGACCGTCGCAGCGACCGCATCCTTGATTGGTTGCCTGCAAAGAAATCCAATTGTTTGGTTGAAGTACGGTTCCTTTTTTCTGAGATGGTAATCGTCAGCTCGTTTAGTAACGTTCCTTATTGTCTTCCTAATATAGTACGCCATTTGAGTAGAACAAAAAGGGAGAATAAGATATTAACGAGGGCTAAATTGTTACACGAGAGGCTTACTAAAAAAAACTCAGTACGTTTACAAAGAATAGACATATCTGATTAATTGATGGTAACTGAGATTAAGCAATCCTTCACAGGTCACATTAATACTTTAGAACTATAGTGAATGCTGAACAAAAATAGACGATCGCTAATGTAAGTAGCCCTGTTGTACTTAGCAAACGAAAGTTACGGTACAAACACCATAAATTTTATAAATTTAAATCTTTTTCGTACAATACTAACGCTACTAATACCTACTTTTGTTTGCATAAAAAACATTCGGAAATTATACGTCGTACCGACGAGTAGAGCAACAGCAATACATGATCCTCTAATTGTTTTGAGCAGTGTATTATTGAGAGAATTTGGATGGAATAGTCGAATGAAAGTTAGTTTCAAGGTGAGTATTTATATGAAGAGAGATTAATGTCTCACCTGTGGATAGTTTTGCGGGGTTGGCAAGTATCCACTCGGTGGTGGAGAGGATGCTTGGACCCGTGATGGTCTTCTGGGTGGTGGCACCGGCGCCGGTCCCTTGAGTTTTTCGGTGAGCTCTCGAAGGCGCTCGGCCTTTTCGCTCCGGGGGCCGGAAGAGGACTTCTTGCCGCTTCCTCCTCCGCCCCCGCTCCACCGGAACCTGTGCAATCGGTCCACCGCTATCACTGCGGGTTCCTAAACAAAGAATCGTTGCATCTCTTTCATCGATACTCTTTTATATTTACTGTGACAGTTAGGGACAAATATCATTCTGGAGTGTCTTCTGCCCCAAGATATCAAGCTCCATTCGACGCTTCTACCCTGTTTTCAGATTTCACGCGTACTTCGAGTGATTTTTAAGATCGTGCACTTCCGAACATATCGATTCTTGAATCGACCATGCTGCGCAACGTGCGCTGCCTCGTGCCTGCCGCAAGGGAAAAGACAGATGACGACCAAAATAGAATATCGCTCTTCGCCTAGACACCTACGTATCCCACGAATGAGCTTCCGATTCTCTAGGCCACTTTTTCCATGATCGATTCTCTTTTATTTTGGCAAAGTCTCGTTGAATTTGATCGATAGAGATAGCGACTGAATCTAACACGTAACTGGTCTTATTATACGCGAATAGAGTTGATAAGTCAATACCCTGTCCAAGGTGTTACAGAAGCAAGTAAATCATAAGAAACGTCAAAACAGTATCGTTAGTTCCCGAACAACCTCTGGCACAATTTCAACACGATGATAAAATAAGTATCTAGAAAATACTTATGTATGTATACAAAGGACATTGACAGAAATACGAGAACCTGCTGAGTGTCCCACTGAGCGTTCTCGGAACAATTTCTTACCGAGTCCACATCCGCAGCCATTAAAAACGCTACATCTTTACACCACCACCGTGTAACCCACCTCTCAAGTTTTGACACAAAGCGTCCCAGGTCGAAGCCACATCGTCCCAAATTCCTACCGACCGACTCCCACTCTTACGAAATCACAAGAGTTTCTTTTTTTTTTTCCATAGGCCATCCGAAAGATTCCTCCATCGACGGACCACCAAAAATATCTTCCAAACAAGAACTCGATCCCTGGATCATCGACGAATACTACTCGAGCCACGATCCACGATTACCGATTCCGTGGATCGACGACACTCGGATCCCCAAGACAATCGTGTCCGAGGAAACGATCGGATCTCTCTGGCCATCGATACAATCACGACGACACTACGGGCCGTGAAACCGTTCGAATGGTAGGTATACCTGCAGCTTTAGGGTCTGATGCTTGGTCCACTGCGCGAGCTGCCGCGGCACCGAGACGGACTGCAACGTCGGAACGGCGGTCGACGTGTTGCACGACGACGTCGAAGAGGATGGCGACGTGGCCGACGGTACCGCCGCCGTTAGAGTAGCGGACGATTGTGGTTGATGGTGCTGGCCAGTGCTGTTCCCGAGCGACGTTTGCAGCATCCCTCGGTTATTATTAGAGTTCACCAACGGTTGCGCCGACGTCGTTGGCGTCGTCAGCGTCGCCGGCTGTTCCATGCCGGCAGCACGGCTGTTCGAAGACGTGGGAGGCCCAGGAAACGGAGCCTGTCCACCACCACCGCCGCTTACTCCTCCAACGCCAGCTCCAGCTCCACCTACACCTCCTCCGCCTGCGACGGCACCGCACGTCGTCGACGACAACGAGTACGTGTTCGCCGTTGTCGACGGCGGGATACGGGGCAACGGTAGACGGGAACGTGGACCGATGCAACAGCAATCTGCGATGCTCGAGCTCAGATCGAGCACCGGATTCTCCAGGGTCTTCTCCGTCAGCCTTTCCCGCGACTCGTTCTCCCGGGAGTTCCTCTTCCGTCTTCTCTCTTGGGTCTCCTCCCGCGAGTTTGACGGCGGTAAGCTTTCCTGCAACGAATACAGTGTATGGATCGTTTCTGTGTGAAACGGTCGAGGCGCCGTTTCAGTTTGAACTATTTGTTAGGGAGCTGGTAATCCCAGTTCTGTTTGGTTTCGGCTGTTTGTAGACAGTTTTTGCAGCAAGTATTTGGGCAGTCTAGTCTGTTATAGTGTATGTATTGAACGGGACAAATGATATATAGTGGATAATGAAATTATTCGAACGATGTAGTGCTGTGTGTAGATACTTCGAATAAATTTTGTATAATTTGAGTAGACGATACTTCAGTTTCTACAGAGATTTTTATATGTCTGTTTAAGGTCTATCAGTACGCTTACAGTATTTGTCAGTCTAGAGTTATGTGTTGTAATGTCCTTCATAGTGAAGATAGAATATTTTTGTTGTTTAGTATATGATAATGATGATAATAATAATAATGATAAGATTTATTATATGGTTAACACCCTTTAGTAAAGTAAATGCACATATAAAGGTAAATATATAAGAATACAGGAATAAATTAATTATGGTGCGGAATTGTGTTGAGCTGCCTACTAGGAACTGCTTCTTGATGAAAATAAATTAAATGCTGATTTAATGCACTTATTGTAGATGCAACGGAATAATATGCAGTAACATGGAGGTTTTAACAAAGTTTAATGCTTACTTTGTTTCCCTTTTATTTAACGAAACGAGTGACGGAGGAAAGTTTCTGTTTAACTTCTGTGTTTATGAATTCCAATTTTGCAATATCCGTCGCCACGAAAACTTCATAACACATCATTGATTATGATTTATAGACTCAATCTGCTGGTAGGTAACACATAAGGACTCTGAAAAGGGGGTCCCAATAATAGCTGAATCTTTAAATTGTCATATTACAATCCTTCTAATCAGCAAAAAACCAGCTTTACAAGTGTATACATGCTGTTGGAATTTCAACCAAGAATCCAGCGCCATGTCATGTTACCGTGAAGTGTAGAATTTCATTCAACAGCACGTTGGAGGCTGAATACTTCAACTTTCTACGTTTTAGAAGTGTATCTAAAACAGCAAAATTCCTTTCAATTGAAAAGGATGATTTGCTATTCATGTGCAGAGAAGTATCAAAATATTTGTTACGTCTAGACCCGATTGCCTGTAATTCAGTGTATCGAGAAGTTCGATAAATTTTAATACGATTTCATTTTTATGCGGGGTTTGACAGAACCTTCGACGCAGTACAGATACTTCTTTTTATTTGAAATTTCTGTAAGTAAATGTTTAAAGCTTGATATTTGTAGTATTGATCACAAATATTGCCTAACTGACACGTCTTATTTAATTTCATAAACATTTTCTATAACTTGAAACACGAAAAAGAAGATATATTATACAACTTGCGTTGAAGGTATTCAAAGTAATACGATGACGGAAGATCTTCATATCTAACGATGACATTCTCATTTGGACGTTCAAAGTACTTTACTCCTAATTTACGACACAGGACGAAGAAAAAGAGGGCAATTTATGCGTGTAGATCAATTTGAACTTCTACTTCCTCGTTCGATATAGTACGAAAGCAGCGGAACAAATGAGACCGTATTACCTGCGAAGTGGTTTCGTGTGTAAAGAGAATCAAAGACTGCTTTTTGCGGCATCGCATAAAATGAAACGTAGGAAGTAGAACTGGCCTCTACAAGGTAATTTCACCTTGCCCTCGTCAGGTTGAGAAATAAATTTCCTAATTCAGATTGTTTCCTTCAAACTGTACATTCTCGGTAGACTTTACGAAAACATGAACGGAGATTACGTAATATTTTCTAGCGAATTAGAATTCCAATTAGTGTTTACAGTAAATCGTTACTTCATATTTTTTGCTCAAGAATAATTACCTATAGATGACTTCCATTAGATGAGCAGATTTTGCTAGTCATAGGCTTTGTGAAAAAATTAAATATTTTTTCAATGTACATTAACATCAGTACTTATTGTTTCATGAAACTTATCGAGGTGAAATATTAGTGCCTCTGACAACAAGTAAATTTCATTTTAAACACTAACGGAAGAATTGTCTTTCATTAAAGCATTCCAGAATTTTGAAATGTCAGGGACCAACCTTAAAGAATTATTCGCGTCTTCGCGAACGTCTGAACTCGCCCGTGTAGAGGAACGATTGCGGTAAAGAGGATCTGTGAGGAGACAATGGCGTTGAGGTAAGGTGACGCTGTTTCTTCCCACGAACGAGCCCGGAGATAAACTCCTCTGAAATAGATCTCTGACTCTTGTGTGTATGCAACACGATGTACAGAGGATATGCTGGAAAGTAGAACCATCTAATCTCCTTTCTCGAAATCCCCCCCGGAGATAACGAGATACGTCCTGAAACGCCTGTTTCGATCTTCATTCTGACACCGCATTTTACTCTCCGCGCCACGTAACACGATACTACGCAGAAATGCATAAAATAGGAAGATAACAAAATGCCTCTCCTGCCCCGTATCATAAAAATTCCGCGAGAAATCTATATTTACGTTGCCGGACGAACTTAGAGGATTGGCTGCCTAACGCTGCTGATGTCATCGATTGCACTTGTACGTTTAAAGAAACAACCTGCATACGAATGCAATTTTTCGACCTCTCGACAAAATATTATCATAACATGATATTGTTTAAATATTATGGATACCAATGTTTACATAAGGGTAGTGATAAGATTGAATGTTTAAAAATGATGTGTATATAACGAACTGAAGTAGGTACTAAAAATAAACGTGCAAGATGAACCAAAGTTAGTGTTGCAATCTGGAAGTATATGTATATTACTTCCCTTCTATAATTTACTATTATCAGAACCATTGTCTTTTTCATATTATTGCCCTGATCTACTATTCCTCTTATATTCAACGTAAAATTATGGATTTTTTACGTTTATAGCATACATGATCCTCTAGAATTCAGTATTCTTAAGAGTTTGATAAAATTTAAAGAGGTCCTTATTTTATTTGGAACCTGATAGGATAGTGAATAAAGTAAGGAAATCTTTCTTTGACTCTAGTTCTTGTAAATTAGCGCATAAAAGTCTATATTTCTGTAAACATCCACAATCTATTCACAAGTTCTTCCACTCATCCTAGAATAAATATACGCTACCAGTTGAATGTATGATTCCAAGCTTCACAGTTAAGGAAAGAACAAGACGATCTTTTAGAATAATCTAATAAATGTCAGTTCAATCAATAGATGTACATATATCATATGTATATTATACATATGTAGGTATATACCAAATTGATGCAATTCACATACCGTACTTTTATTATTAAATTCTCCCCATTGTGAAGTTATTATCAGGATTAGATTTTCCAACAGCGTGAAATATTATTTTTTTAATACGGACACGTACATTGAAGGTCCATTCCCACTGGTCCATACTACGTGTGCATTTTAGTTTTAATCGTTAAGTAGGTACACTGGCAAAATCACAAGTGAGCGCAACAGTGAACCCCTTTTTTTGATAATGTAAGTATACATACCAAAGGTATACAAATAAAAAAGGACCAGTTAAATAATTAACGTTTCTTGCTTTAACAAGAAACAAAAGCCAAATAAATAAATTGGAGTAGCTATAACCATGGGGTCTACTTAAGTGTTAATTAAGTTTTAATTAAGTCATTTGGATGTTCCCTTTGTAATCTTGTTGCTATGTTTGTTGTATAAAGACTATTTGCTAAGTTATTTAGATATCTTGTAAGCCTCATTTTGTAATTATTAGCCAGACTAACAAAAGAATCTTGCCCTTTACACCTCAATCACAAAGCCTGTCCTGTTTCCCTATTCTTCAATCGTACACTTCTATAAATAAACGTGCAATAAAACGAAGTTGTATTACAATTATTGCTTGTTCAATCTTTCAAATAGCCTAATACCCAAGCATTACTCTACAATATTTATTATATTTAATGATGTCCTCATTCTGACAAAGGATCCACATACGATGAAAAGAAGTCCCCACCATCTCGTGAATAAGCAAAAGAATGCAAAGGGTTGGAAATTGAAAGGCGTTCCGTGGCTAAAATCATCTCGCGAAATGCCGGATGATCAGCTACCGATCAGCCGGCGTGTTCGCGGTGATTTGTCGCGATTGAAGGACTTGGCGTAGGATCGCGAGCCTCGTCCATATGTGTCGCGCGGGAAACCACGTAGCCGGTACGTGCGTGTATGATGTCAACGTGAATATTATTCCGGTTGTGCGAGGACGGCCGGCCAGAAAAAAATAGGAAGAGGAAGAAAGATGGAAAACGGTAGATAGCTCAAAATCGGCCCGAGTCACTGACTGGCGGCATTCTATTTGCGCGATCGGCTCTATATTTAGGTATTCCAACGTCTTCATTTTGCTCATGCGAAACTTCTCTGTCGCGGATTCGTCGAAGGTCGTCACGACAGCCAACAGAAGGGGGTTCGGATTCTCAGCCGAGTGGACGTCATGTTTTCAACATGGACAGATTTACTCGCGCTAACGCGAGGCATTAGCGTATCTAGATCTGCACGATCTTCTTAATTTCTATTCGTGTCACATACTTCTGTAATAGACTGCATCAGATATAGTAATTAGACAATATTAGGTCTGATGAATGCTACACCTGGCAAAAGGTAGCTGATCGAACGAACTGAAAATTGCACTGCTTGAAAGAATTAAGGGATCGCTATAGCGGATGACCCTATTGTCGATCAAACAAAAGAAACGAGAAAAATGCTGTAGGTTTGATGAATTCACGTTACTTCCGTGAAATGCTAACACCCAAAATAGTGTTGTTTTCATAAAAAATTGTACGCCGTATTGATGATTGCAGCGGCTGCAATAGATACCCTAAATGTTTGATCCTCTAACTGTGAAGAATCTTTTCAATAATATTGAAAGATGCGGGTTGGAAAGGTTAATGAAATAGTATGAATATAAACGGAAAGTAAATATCTTCTTTTAGATATTTATGATCTGAAATGAGCAGTTGTAATATCGGTGGGAGGAAGTGTTTAATCATGGTCAAACCTGGCTGAAAGTTTCGTATGTATCATTTTTGCTCCAAAAGTATTTTAACACATGTATACATGTGTTAATACAGCATACAGCACACTGTTATTATGGTCACCGATGATTGGCGCCATTAAATTATACGAAGAAACATTGAATTTCTAAATAGGAACATTTCACATTTTAGAAATACAATTAGTAGTAGACGTAATAATGAAAGTAATGAGTGTTCATGTCAACGCGTAAATTGTTAATAAGAAAGATCCAAACAAATGTGTATTATCATGATACTGTCCCAAAAATGAGAAACAATGGCATTCAATGTATTAACTACATCTTTTAATAGCTCTAGGACTCAAAATGTAAACAGATGGTATACAATAAAAAAACCTTCCGATAAGCATACCAGTCGATTCAATTAACGCGATCATGGAGAGTAACAGACGCAATTTTGCGATCGTGCAATTACTAGAACATATATCGCACCCCCTTGTGTCAGTCAATGTGACGTCTAATTCCTGGAAATCTTTTTATAAAATCGAAACTAGATGTTAGTGTCGAACGGAAACGTCTATTTATCAAACCTATAGAATTTACTTCCTATCGTTTGCTTGGTTGGCGCCACAGGACCGCCCACAGTAGCGATCCTCTAATTGTTTTGAGCAATGTTGCCAGCAGAAATAAAGAGAGACAATGATTAACTAGTGAGAAGTTACATGAACAGTTGGAGGGGGCAAAATACTAAACTACGATCTAGGTGTTACGTAGAAACAGACTGCCACGTGGAAATGGGGACAAAAGCGTGCAATGGTCCCAACGCGTGAACAGCACAGAATTGAATAAAGGAACCTCGAAAATGGTCTTCTTACCTGAGAAAGTCGGAGACCGTATCTGGTGCCGCCCAAAACGACGTATCCGCCACCGACAGTTGCCCCAGTCATGGCTCTCGCTGCACCCCCGAGCCATCCTCCGAACCCGCTCCCCCCTGCCTTCTCTGGCCCGCCGCCCCCGTCTCCACCGACGCGGGGCATTCTTCATCCTCCCTTCACCCTGCCAACACAAACGCCATAAAAATTAATAACTTTCGTGAAAGACGAATATTAGACCTGATACAGAAGGTAATAAAGTTTCAGCCCACTTCCGCTGAAATGGAGAACCGCCTTGCTTCAGTATTATAGCAAATTTCTTGGGGCAGTAATCTAATTACAGTATATTATATTATAGTGCCTCTTCTACTACGTTCTATAGAATCGTAGCTCTGCCTTGTGACGCAAGATAAAACGGAATTGTGTTTAATGTAAATATGTCAATGAGACCAATTTAATTTTCCGTTTAAGTATAAATAATCGATGGATGTTTCTCTTTTACGTTTTCCCGTTAACATAAAAGCATGCGTAAGGTGATTTCTCAATGTCTTGTTTGTTAGTCGTTGATGGAGTTTCTTGCACGAAGATTTGCGGTTTTGAATATAGAGGCTCACCTGTTGCGTCAGCTTTGCTGTTGTCCCTTTAATCGCGGGATTTCGGGAAACGCGGGCAGTTTTCTATTTAATATTTCTAACGAACTTAATCATTATTATATGTATTATAGCTTACTTACAATTATTTTTCACGTATCAGGGATAAACTGTTTCGGGGGTGAAGATAAACGGTTTTAATGCTCGTGGAAGAGCAGTGCCTGGGTCTGTTTGAACCTCTATACTTCCTGCGTTTTAAACATATCTTCGAATCCAATCGTTCAAAAAGATCTGCTTTCTTGCATGACTTAACACGAACAACTCCTATTTTAAATTCAATGTATAAGTTAATGTATTAGGTAGAGCTTTTAAAAAACTCGGATCCAAATAAACCCAGTTATCACCGCCCGAGTATTAACAACCTAACTATGTAACCACTTAACGGTGGAATTTAGTTTTGGATATGTGTATCTGTGTGCGTAATTACTCTGATTCTTTTATTCTAATAAAAGAAATATATTTTTACCAGTTTTTACTAAAATTTCAATTTTTACAGCAAAATATATTTTATTTTTTCACATATAAATGAGTATACTCGTCATTACTGAAAAAGTGGTCGTTTCTTCATGACGAATATACTCAGCAAACACCGTTAAAGGACTAAGAAAATAACAACAATAAATCACTGCGTATTGTCCCTCTTAACTAAAATGTTTTCTATCGAGTATGGATTGTGCAATGTTTATCATAGTAAATTATATGTAGAATTAGCAAAACTCAATACCTGAATTTAGATTATGTCGCAATTTATGATTCACTTCAGTCACGAGGCAAATGTCACACCAGTCTTTCTTCTTTCTTTACAGTCTGCAACGATCCCTAATATAGCGGCGAAGCATTTAGCAGCATCGCGACGTACATACGCGATAAGTCCACCGATGAACTTTAATGGAACTCACTCGCGAATTCCCGGGAATTTCATTCAACCGACGACGACTCACCGTAAATAAATAAAATCGTTCTCAACAGTTATCAGAGAATGCGCGAACGTCCGCAGGAATTCAAAGAGCAATCGTCGTGCGTGCGTACGTGCGTGCGTGACTTCGCATAAGTGAGCTGATTCAATCAGATTTGTCGCCGTGATTAAAAAAATTTATGCAAACGGTTCTGCCTTTTGGAATACCGTTTCGAAGTTCCAGTTGCATGTTTCGTTTGCGATAATATATACTACTTGCAAACAACAGTCGAAAATAATATCAACAAAGTATTGCGAATTGTTTTGATCTTATTTTTAAAATTTACGCAGCTAAATTATTATACTAATATGACACGGACTAAAAGATATCTAATAATAAGTAAATGAAGAAAATTTGTCGAAAAAAAAAGGCTAAATAAAATTCTATAATTATTTCCGATAGACTGAATCTTAGAGACGTATGTACATATTTAGTATCTTGTACATTTTTAGGTTACTGAAAGAATATACTGTAATTAATTAAATAGTAATAATTTATACGAAATTATTTTTAAGTATATGAATTTAGAATGAAACTTTAGTTCTTAACGGTAAGCGCTTTCCTCCAGAAAATAATTATGAAGTTTATCTGCATCTGCCGTAGTATGTATTGCAAGTCAACCGGAAATCGACGTCATCAAACCGTTACATCCGACTCAGGTGTCACTGACTGAATCCGAACAAGAAAGGAAAGCACTTAACTTTAATAAGGCAAAGAAGAAATAGAGAACGTGGTGTAATGTAACTCACTTTTCTTGAAAAACGTACAAAAAACGACACTATAGAAAAATTATAGAAAGACAAGTCATCTAAATAAATTAGCTCAAGATGAAATCAATACTAGAAATACACTTCATCATGATTATTGTAATGATAATGTCAAATTCATTCGGATTATATTAATAATTGTATTATTAGATTTTATGAAGGGTATATTATTAACACTGTTTGTTAAAATTGCGTTGAAATGCAGACGTTCTAGTCAGTTCTTCGCGCCAATCACCAAAAACCTAGCTTCCATCTAAACAGCACGGCGATGGATGCAAATATTGAGAGTTTATAAATACCCGTGTATGTCTTTTCTATTTCCGAGTGCTGAAGGCTAACTATATCGGAAGTTAAAGTGGTTCGTGCGTCTTCGTAGTAAAGAGGCATTAACACGAAACGTTCGTCCTCAACTTCGAAATAATAATAATGACGATTAGAAGTATTCTATCAGTACACCTGGGCATTGAAATAATCACTCTTGCTAGAAATAATGATCAGACATTATTTTTTATCATAGAATTTGAGGTCATTACCTTGTGCTCCATTACACAAACTTTAACGCTTGAAGAAGATTATTCTGACAATTTATTTGAAATCTATATACTTTCCTTTAATTAGTTACAAAATGTACATACACCTACTTCTTAGGACATGTGACCCTAAACTTTGAAACGATAGTGCATTTTATAATAATATCTATTTCAATGGATATGCATTTGAACCATTTTGAACCCTTTTATTGATTTGAAAATGTAAAAGATATTTTTACATTTCCAGACAATATTTATGATTTAGCCTGTACATGAAATGTATAGTAACTGAAAGGTCAGGCAACGAAAGCTTACAAGTAACCTCGGCCGAATAATATCGTCCACACTTTGTTTAAAAAAACATAAATAACTACACGCAATTTATGATTGATGCAATCCTGGGCACGCTGAAATCCAAATTTGAAATTACAAATCTGTGTCGTGGAAATCTGTCGACTATGAAGAACATATGCTTGCACGCGTATCAATATTCCACGATACCATAAATCGTAGAAAGGCTGTTCGATTTTCATGTCACGTTCATGTAACATTCATGTAATATGTTTTCTGTCAGATAGTAGCGATCAAATGACACTCAATTCCGGAGTTAGTCATTTCATCGAACAGTCCAACCTCGGCGCTCACGATAACGGACGTTGAACACGATTTAGCTGAATCTTGATAAGATTTCGTTCGCGACGAATGCAAGAATTACGAGACAGCTACGCGAAAAACTAATATATATAGACTAGAATCGATACAAATATCAAGTATCAGCCTCTCGAGTACACCCATCCCTCGATTTACGCGGAGTGTTTGCTCCATGTGGTTCTTCTTTATGCGGATAAAAATCGTCTAAATGGAGTCTGTCTGTACGAAAAAAAAATTCTCAAGAGAAAAGGGAGTACAAGTTATAAAAATATTTATTTTAAAAATAACTAAATGGAACGAATACTCCGCGTAAATCGTGGGACGGGAATATATACATTATGGCTTATAAATATTAGGACACCTGGTTTGTATAAAGAAACTGTGACGATTCGCAAAAATGATACATTCTAGGCTACATTTATTAATTCATAGTAGCATAAGCATCGTTGTTCATTGACCTTTAACATACCCTAAACAGTATTTACTTCTCACTTTCAACGATTTCATTATTCCTTCTAAGATTTACTGCATACTCAATAAGTGTCCTAATACTTATGAGCGAGAATGTACATATTTCTTCTTTCATGAAAACAAAAAAATTACAATGCAAGTTCACTGTCGTATTGTATTCTTTCTTATTAACTAATTCGTAAGTTCATATGACTTTATTTTTTCAAAGATTCAATATTAATAATGCTATAACCCGTGACAAAAGACTCGTAAACATGTGTACCCATTTTATAACACCGAATTATATACAAGCTCAAAATGAGAATTCCTATTTAACAAGCACGAATTCTTGTGTACATCCTGAAATATATGTCACACTACTTCACCACAGTCAAAATCCAACAATTATCAGGGTAGATAAGCATGCTATATCAGAAGAAACACGTAATTAATTTCCTATATTTTCATTTAACAACGACAATTCCAGCGCGCACAGTCACGAAAGAAATTCGCGAGGCAAGAAGAAAAACATCAAGATATCAAGATGTAAAGAGAACAAGATCAATTCAACGGTCTAGTGGTGGAAAATGTGAAATGCAATTATCGAGTTTGGTATGGGAAACCCGTTATGAATTCGCGCACACGTCGATAGATTCCTTCCCGTGAAAATTGTCGATCGACGAACGGAAAGCGGTGTCTCTTTCAGCGTGCCGAGTCCAATTGGCCAGAACGAATTGAACTTGTGCCAGGGTCGCAGCCCGAATAAAAAGAAGACGACGAAATCAACGACGCCTGGCGCGCGGCAGGATACCCCGAGGGTGTTTTCTTTCGCTTTCTTTTCGTTCCGCGAACCGACACCCGCGATATTCTCGAATTCCGACGGCGCTCAGGCGCGTGCGCGTTCACGAGGGCGCGATCACGCACGTCGAGATTCTGAATTTTCATCTTGGTCCACGTCGGCACGTGCCATCGGAATCGCGCGACAGCTGAATTAATTAAATTCAGAACGCGACGCCGCGGCGCGGAATTTCGAACATCTTGTACCGCGGCTGGGGGTGACTTTCCTCCTCTTTCGCAACGAAAACCCGTTCCTCCTACGCGCGTTGAACCGAGCATCACGGAAACACGGCCCGATGAAATTCAGCCGGGGGAATCCGAAAT